CACCAAACTGATGAAGAATACTGTTTGTCACTCATCAAGTCCATGCCTCAGAGACTGCAGCTGTTAGAAAAGACAAAGGTGCTGCAACTAAATACTAGTGATGTGTGTTGAACGGTCTTTAGTTTATCCGTTTTTCATGATTCCATATTTTTTTCCTCAGAATTGAGTGATTCCATATTTTCCCCTGTGCTTGATCAATAAAAGTAACATTCAGTGACTTCCACAATGTTTTCTCTTCATTTCTTTGAGTTCCTGAAAGACAACAAGTTGACCTTTGGAATGACCTTATTATTGTCTCATGTTTTTGATCTGAGTTTGTTTTACAGGATGACAGGTCTGAATGAGAGCTCATCCAACACTGCTGATTCCAGACTTTCAGACAGGGCTTGTTGGTTCCAGTGAGGATGAGGGTTAGGGATGTCCCGATCAGATACTCAGTATCAGTGGCAGATATGACCATTTTTTTGAAAATTGGGTAGAATGGGATTTAGTCATGTGATCGGGCTGATCCAGTTTTCAGCATCATCATGATTTACAACTGCCATTAAGTCAAGATGCACACAAGTACACAACCATGTCACAGTGTGGGAACACTTCAATGGAAAACTGATGCTGAAACTGCATCTTGTAAAATCTGTAAACTGGATGTTTCTGGAGGTGGAACAGCAGGGCTCACTTTAATACTACCAACCTTGTCACTTGGAAAGGAATAAAGCTATCTGTATCTGAAAGACTAATCATTAAAGTCTGATTGTACCGGGAGCCAAAAACTCTGGATCGGGACATCCCTAATGAGGATGATGCACCAACAGAAAGTAAATGTCAGTTTCTGACACTTGGCTGAATTTGCTTGTAGATGCTTTTTCTTTTCTCTCCATTTTTGCTCTTCTTATTTTTATTATTAGGTTTCTTACTACTTCTTCCTCTTCGTCATCAAACTTTTCTTCTTCTTCAGTCSTTGTTGGTGGTTGGTAAACAATGAATTGGTGCATTATCGCCATCTACTGGTATTGAGTGCAACTACACAAGTTTTTTTTTCCTCACTGCCTGCGCCGGCCCACCGGGAAGAGTCCTGGTACTCCCAGTGGCCAAACCACAGTCGGAACCAGCTGTACACACAAACATGTCTGACCTGCTGTCCCCCCCTCCCCCACAGAACCAAACAACGAGAGTCCTCTGAACACGACAGCAGCTGAACTGTGGACCAACCAGGACGGTAAGAACCAGAACCTTTGTCACAAAGCACCTAAAGCTGGGTCAGAACTACTAAACATCAAGAGAGCAGAGCATGGTGCAGCTGTAGTTTGGATCAGAACATACAGCTGTAGTTCTGACTGTGATTTCTCTTGCAGCCTACAGAACTCACCTACATGCCACCTTCAAGAACTGAAGCAGCTCCATGTTTCTTTCTTCCTGTCTGACTTTTTTCTGTTTGTAAAATATTTGTATGTTTTATTTGTTCTGTCAATAAAGTTCTTAATTCAACAGAGTCTCTGAGATTCTTCTGGTCACATTGTGTTTGAAAAGAAATTAACCAGCCCCCGCCCCCGGGGAAAAAACTAAATCTAACCAGCTGCAGTCGATGAGGTCGTGTCAAATTAAGACTTTCTAGAAGCTGGGTTTGGGAATGTGTGTTGCTGAACGTCCACGCACCTTCATGAGCTCTACTGTAGTCCTTCACTTCTGACTCTGTGTGTGTGTGTGTGTGTGTGTGTGTGTGTGTGTGTGTGTGTGTGTGTGTGTGTGCATCACAGAGCAAAGGTTTAGACACAGCTTCTCATTCAAGGAGTTTTCTGTTTTCATGACTATAAAAATTGTAGATTGACACTGAAGGCATCAAAACCATAAATGAACACATTTGGCATTATATACTGAACAAAACAGTGTGAAACAACTGAAAATATGTTTTATTTTCTAGGTTGTTCAAAGTAAAACCTTTAGCTTTGATTACTGCTTCACACACTCTTGATGGGCTTCAAGAGGTAGTCACCTGAAATGATCCAACAGTCTAGAGGGAGTTCCCAGAGATGGTTAGCACTTGTTGGTTCTTTTTCCTTCACTCTGTGGTCCAGCTCAGCCCAAACCATCTGGATTGGGTTCAGGTCCAGTCACTGTGGAGGCCAGCACCCATCAGTCTCCTTCTTGGTCAAATAGGCCTTACACAGCCTGGAGGTGTGTTTGGATCATTGTCCTGTTGAAAAATAAACGATGGTCCAACTAAACACCAATCAGATGGAACAGCTGCTGCTGCAAGATGCTGTGGTAGCCATGTTGGTTCAGATGCTGTGGTAGCCATGTTGGTTCAGATGCTGTGGTAGCCATGTTGGTTCAGATGCTGTGGTAGCCATGTTGGTTCAGATGCTGTTGTAGCCATGTTGGGTCAGATGCTGTGGTAGCCATGTTGGGTCAGATGCTGTGGTAGCCATGTTGGGTCAGATGCTGTGGTAGCCATGTTGGGTCAGATGCTGTGGTAGCCATG